AAGTTTTATTGACTATTTGACAAACCAGAAATAAATTTTCATTTCTCCATTTTTGCAGGAATAAAAATAAAATTTTATTTTACTTTAAGGTTCATTACATATTTTATAATTTTATTTGATATTTTGAATTCATTTTGTCATACAGAACAACCATTTTTCCTCATGCACCACCTGATACCAAACACCCTGCATATTCTCTTCGTAACTTCTTACGTTCTATCGTTTCTATTTGTGTAAAATTTTATTTAACATCTTTATTGCACAAGTACAGTGGTACAGATACACAAATATAAAACAAGAGGTAGATACACAAGTGGGTAAGAGAGGAGGTGCATTAAATCAAATAGCCAATGAACTTTTGAACCAAAACAGCCAATGAAATATTCATTTCTATGTTCAATATTTGAAAACATATTTCCACTGTGAAAAAATGTTTGCCATTACATCGAGCAACCTGTAACAGGTGTCCCCTTACAGTCATACATTTTTTGCTCCGTTGAGCATGTCTGATTCGTGCACGACAAAGCAACCGCAAAGACTGATTAAACACACGTGTATCACTCACATCGTGAAAGAAAGTATCGAAGCAGAGCTGCACAATCAATTAACCATTGGTTGCTTTTACAAGCGCGCGCCTCAATTAGCATGTTATCGTTTCAATTTCTGTAACGGAGTTTCATTAGAACTCGTTTTATTTCTCTTTTCAGAGCGATCCCAGTACGGCGTTTCTCCGAGCAGCTCGTGCTGGCCAGTTGGAAAAGGTTTTGGAGTACTTGGAATCGGGAGTGGACATTAACGCTTCGAATGCTGTAAGCTAACACCTTTATAATTCGTAGTTTTTGGTTTTATTATAAAAAATGTAGTGGTTGATGTAAATTACCTCTTACTTGTTCTGTAATATTTATTCAAAACTTGTTATCTGCACATTTGTCATTGTATGATATAAGTGATCATGCTGGATTGGACCAGCTGGATGATAACGGTATTTTTGACCAAATAATTTAATGTTTTTCAGCAGCTTTGTTTAAACATTTTCCCACTACAGAACTGTCTACATGCAATTTTGTTCTGTCTGTAATAGTAGTTTTTATAGCTCTCATTGTCAATTATGGTTCCAGGATGGTCTTATCCATTTTTTGTATTGTTAATATTCATTTCAGACCCTAATAAGTCTAGATTCACCACTGAAAGTATTAGTAGATTTTTATCAGTAAACGTGTTTAGTCATCCCGTAAGTAATGCAGCCGTTCCAGTGCATATTCGAGCTGCTAGTAAACAAGACTTTATTAATTATTAATCAAGTGTACAGACCGGGTCAGGCGAACCGCTACCTGCAGTTTTATCAGAGAGATCAGTGCGATTCTTGTTTGGATGTAAATTTAGAGCCAGCAATAAAAGATAAACAACTGTTTATCTGTCGCTCGTTGAATAAAACTTATGCGCGATTCCAGTTATAAAACTCGATGTTACATAAAGAGTTTTAGTGAACTTTAAATGCAGGAAAAATCTTGATAAAAATTCTATAAAAAACTGGATTCTAATGAAGTTTCATAATTGCTCCCTTTGCGACATGTGGTTTACTATTGCCCTGACGAAACAAAGATGTATATCGTGTAACCAAAGTATCACGTTTTTCTTCTAATTCCGAGTTCAAACGGTATAATTGTCCACAATAAACCTCCTCAATTATTGTTTGATTGCGAGGCGACAGTTCACGACGAGTAACTTCTATGCCGTACCAAACAGACAGCAATGCTTTCTGCGAGTACAATCTTCTTTTCAATAATAACACATTTTTTTTATGACTATTTTATTATATTCAATTCCAGTAGTCATTTATCATTTCTGTTCAAAATTTGAAATCGATAGTTGGAGGTCAACATTGAAAGTATCATAAAGAATAATAAAATAAAATAATACCTTTGTTAACCTGTCCGAGTAAAATATACAAAAATAAAATCCATATGTAATATATATTTTATAGTCTACTATATTCCAATTAGTTATTATTGATAGAAGAATATGTAGCCGAACAATGTACAAGTTATAAAATATTTTACGATAGTAAGCTTTATTGATAGTATTAAAGCAGACTCAAGCTGTTGGTCAAAACTAATAAACCGAAGCAATAAATGATTTGTTACGACTATAACCATCGTTATCGGTATTAATATGTGTGAAAGAAAAAATTGAACATCCACTCATACTTTGCTGGCGGTGTTCACTGCGTCACTCATTGTCCAGATTAGCAAGTTTTTCCAATATTTCTCGAATGCCGATGGATGGTAGAATGAATTCAGTCTCCGAGTTTTCCAACTTTCACAAACAGTAGTTCATAAAATATCTTCAATATCTCTAACGGTGCTTTATTAAATGCTAAATTCTAAAACTCTGTCACGATGCTGACAAAGGTCTATGCAATATCGTCATTTACATGCATACATACATACGTGCATATACACCTCGTGTGGACACTACGTTGGCACTTCTTCAATTACAATAATTACCTAAAAATGTTACGAATCCATTAATGAATATCATTTATGTTTCTCTATTTAGTTTGTATTACATCAGAGAATACATTTGATCGATACTTTATTTAATGTCTCATCAGTAACAATAAAAAAACAATTCAATTTTCATTCATTGATACAGGTTAATTCGTTCAATTGAATCCAAAGTAATATTGTTCCATTTATTTTGTGATATTTCACCATAATTATTCATTGAAGGTGATGATTGTCCTCATATTTATGAACGAGAATTTACGTGGTCAGTTTGTTTTATCGTACGACCCTCGGAAAGTCCGCATCGCTTACGAAATGATCTAATATTAGGAATTGGATGTTTCATTAACGGAAAATATATGGCTGTGCATTAATTACAGAATGGCTTAAATGCTTTGCACCTGGCAGCTAAAGATGGACATTTGGAAATCGTCAGAGAACTTCTCAACCGTGGCGCAGTGGTCGATGCCGCTACCAAAAAGGGAAACACGGCATTACATATAGCTTCTCTTGGTGAGTGGGCATTACCATTCTTATCTTTTGTGTATTTTTTTTATTCGGGACAAGGATGTCAGCGCAAATAGACATAGACGCATGCCATTGTACTTCTTGTTATCAAACTTTTTACATTCCTGATTATATTTAAAGAGAAGGCGAGACGCTACAAAGAAACAAGGAAACAAATTCAAAGTATTCAAGTGTTCATTAGAACGATGCAAGTCATTGAAATGATTGTAAATTTACAAAAGAATATGTACAAAATATTTTTGCAGTAATAGGATAGGAAATTTCTAAAGCTTTGTTGTAAAAATGGTATATCATTTATAAACGAAATGATTAAAATTTAATATCTTGTTATTATATTACATCTAATATTTGTTTATTGTATCGCAGCTGGACAGGAGGAGGTGGTGCAATTGCTCGTACAACGAGACGCTTCTGTGAATGCACAGTCACAAAATGGATTTACCCCGCTCTATATGGCTGCCCAGGAAAATCATGATTCGGTAGTGAAGTACCTTCTGAGTAAAGGTGCTAATCAAACATTGGCCACTGAGGTTTGTATAATCGATGTTTGCCGTATTAATCAAATATTTCGTTCAGTAATGTTAATAAAATATCAAGTAATTTATATAATTAACGTAATTCGTTTTTCGTTACGTTTACTAATTTTTCCAACGACATGGACATTTCATTTTACTGTACCAGTTAGTATTAAACCGATAAGATGAATGTACATCGTACGGAGCGCCGAAGCCTCTCTATATTTCTAACAGATACCCTCGACACGAATTTAGGTGGAGTTTTTATTCATGTTCACAGGATGGCTTCACCCCATTAGCAGTGGCAATGCAACAGGGCCACGATAAGGTAGTAGCAGTTCTATTGGAAAATGACACTCGTGGTAAAGTTCGACTGCCTGCCCTCCACATTGCCGCTAAGAAAGACGACTGCAAAGCGGCTGCCCTACTTTTACAAGTATGTCGCAATAATTTGTCACCGGGGGCTCGATTCGATCCAATAGAATCCCCAGCGAAGAACGAACAAATCCAAATGCTGATGGTTCTCTTATCTTTGATTTGTTACAGAACGATCATAATCCCGATGTAACATCGAAGAGCGGGTTCACACCCCTCCATATAGCCGCACATTATGGCAACGATCGAATTGCTTCCTTGCTCTACGACAGAGGAGCAGACGTTAACTTCGCGGCAAAGGCAAGTAATTTTTAAGAAACAGCCGTCAATATTGCAAATTGCAAAGTAAATTGAAGTAATAAATATTTTAATAGTCTTCGACAAGCCTACTCTTCAGCTGAAAATCTAAAATAATATAAGGATTTTCAGTAGCTCCTTAAGAGGTCCGAAAAAGAAAGGATCAAAAGCGTAAAAGCTCTGTTTATACAAAACAAGCATGACGTTTTATAAACATTATGTCAAGTTAGAACGATACACACTATTCTTCGTCACTCGAATTTTTCTATTACTTTCACTCCTCTATTATTCTATTGCTTAGTCCCGAATTATAAGTGTCGGTGTTGCGACAGTGGCTTGTTCAACTATTTTAAAAACGTCTGTTTATTTTGTAGCACAATATTACGCCAATGCACGTGGCAGCAAAATGGGGAAAGATTAAGATGGTGAATTTATTGACGAGCAAGGGAGCGAATATCGAGGCGAAAACGAGAGATGGCCTTACACCCCTCCATTGCGCTGCTCGATCTGGTCATCACGAGGTTGTTGATATTTTAATCGAGAAAGGAGCACCGATTGGTTCCAAAACGAAGGTGAGAACTAGCCTCCGGATCCACTTGCGTTACAGGCGAAGGTTTCCTGGCGATCGAATCAGTTGACCCTCGTTTTCTGTTGACAGAACGGTCTTGCCCCGTTGCACATGGCTTCTCAAGGAGATCATGTTGACGCTGCGAGGATATTATTGTATCATCGTGCACCCGTAGACGAAGTGACGGTAGATTACTTGACGGCGCTACACGTGGCAGCTCACTGCGGACACGTACGAGTGGCTAAACTTCTACTCGATAGAAATGCCGATCCAAACGCACGAGCTCTAAACGGCTTCACTCCACTCCATATTGCCTGTAAGAAGAACAGACTGAAGGTCGTTGAGCTCCTTTTAAAGCACAAAGCTAGCATCGAAGCTACCACAGAGGTATTTATTCTCATCTTCGCATTAGTTTAGTAGCCTAGTAACTCACATCATAGATATTATTGTACTAGTCGCTCCTTCTATATTTGTCTCGCAATCGGTTCAAATATCGAGAAACGTTAATTCTGGAACTGTACGCTCGTCTTATTTCTTCGAGCCAAAAACTCGATAACGTGAAAATCTATATCAATCGGTGTAGAGTTCTAGGGTTGATGTAATTTACTGATAGTTTGGGGGAAGAGAGATTATTAAAAATAGTGAATTTGTTAAAAGTAATAATTAAAGGGATATTATTATTTCTTAGTAATAACAGATTTATTTTATTACTTAGTCTGGATTGACGCCCCTACACGTAGCGAGTTTTATGGGGTGCATGAACATAGTGATTTATTTATTGCAACATGCAGCTAGTCCTGATATACCAACTGTGAGAGGCGAAACGCCTTTGCATTTAGCTGCCAGAGCGAATCAGACTGATATTATCAGGATACTTCTTAGAAATGGTGCCCAAGTTGACGCCAGAGCAAGGGTAAAGAAAAATATTTAATATTCGTAATATGTTTCGCGTTAATTTTGTTAGTACGTCTTTTTAACTTTGCACTTTCATATTGATGTGTAAAATTCAACATGTATAAAACGTTAACATCGCAGGAAGAACAAACACCACTTCACGTTGCTTCTCGGTTGGGTAATGTTGACATTGTAATGTTATTACTTCAACACGGTGCCGATGTCGATGCTACGACGAAAGATTTATATACACCGCTTCATATTGCTGCTAAAGAGGGTCAAGAAGAGGTACAATATATTATTGTTGTTATTATTAAAAATTCAACGGATAGTTGTGCCTTTCTACGTAATGTTGATTTTAATACTCGTTTTCCTATGTAGGTTGCATCCGTTTTGTTAGAAAACGGCGCATCGCTTACCGCTACAACCAAAAAGGGATTCACTCCGTTGCATTTGGCAGCTAAATATGGTAACATGAACGTTGCTAGATTATTGTTGCAAAAGAATGCACCAGTTGATGCTCAAGGAAAGGTTAGAGGAATTTCTATCGCGTTATCTTATGTTATCATACGATATCGTTATCAGTGTATTACAACCGATTTTTGTTTATGTACTAATCACGTTAATTAAATGTAGAACGGCGTTACTCCACTTCATGTGGCATCTCACTATGATCATCAAAATGTAGCACTGCTTTTACTTGATAAGGGTGCATCGCCTCATGCTATGGCTAAAAATGGCCATACACCACTGCATATCGCTGCACGTAAAAATCAGGTAAGCAATAATAACAGAAGCTATAAATTGAAAAAAATTATGTCGAATAGTGTTAATGGCAACAACATTTCTTTGTGTTTGATGCAGATGGATATTGCAACTACTTTATTAGAATACGGAGCAAAAGCAAACGCGGAATCAAAAGCAGGATTTACGCCGCTACATTTGAGTGCACAAGAAGGCCACACCGATATGTCAACGCTACTTATCGAGCACAAAGCAGATACAAATCACAAAGCTAAGGTAATACGAATCACATAATAGGTTGGATGTTACGATTTGTTAATTACTTTTTATTGAGTAACTTTTATTTTTGTAGAATGGTCTCACGCCGCTTCATTTGTGCGCACAAGAAGACAAAGTTAACGTTGCCTCTATCCTCGTTAAAAATGGTGCTCAGATTGATGCTAAAACGAAGGTATGACAACCTACTCAATGCATAAAATTTCTTTTGTTTTAGTGCATCATTATTTTGTATTTATTTTATTTTGCAAGAGTACGATGTTAAAGCTAAAAGATTATTAGTAAAATATTTGGTAGAATTCAATATCATAATAATACTGTCAATTTACTTAGATAAAGACAAACACGATTTGTTTTCATTCCAGGCTGGTTATACTCCATTACACGTGGCAGCTCATTTCGGCCAGGCAGCTATGGTACGATTCCTCTTGCGATCGGGTGCGGTTGTTGACAGTAGCACCAATGCAGGTTATACTCCGTTGCATCAAGCTGCACAACAGGGTCATACACTAGTGATCAATTTATTGTTGGAGGGTAAAGCTAAGCCAAACACTACGACTAACGTAAGTCAATTTTCGTTTCATACATATTTATAATACACTACTACGTATCGCTACGAAGAAATGTTTTGTTTCTTACAGAATGGCCAGACTGCGTTGGATATTGCACAAAAGCTTGGTTACATTAGCGTCATCGAAACTTTGAAAGTGGTTACGGAAACCGTCATTACAACAACTCACACCATTACAATAGAAGAGAAATACAGAGTCCAGGCTCCTGAATCAATGCAAGAGACATTTATGAGCGACAGTGAAGACGAAGGGGGTAAGTGCTTACTTCTTTTTTATTTAAAAAAATTTCAGTTCTTGCTTTATTTATAGTTTTTCAAAATTTGAATAAAATGTTGCGATGTCGTCTCGCATTGCAACAACAATTGGAAAACATAAAAGTATGTAATTTTAACGATCGAGCGGGCTAACGATCATCTGAAAATCCAATACAAAATTTAACATTCTAATTTGATTATTTATTATTCCAATTTAAGGTAATGCTTTAGTATTTTAGGAAATTATTTGACTAGAATATTAAATAGAATTTTATAATATAGGCACTAGCGTCAAGATGCTTGTAACGTAATTTTGCTTTTGTGATGCGCGCTTTTTATACATAGTTATAACAGCCCGTACTATAGCAGGGTTCATATTTATTCAAGCTTTAATCATTAATTTTTAATACATATTAGAATTGATCGCATGAAATTATTTCTTCTAATAGCAGATTCAATTGAAACTTATTTGAAATAAATATTTATACACACGTAGTTAAGCATATTATTTTCACTCGTGAAAAAGATAATAATTAATTCTAATCACACGCTTTTCTATTATTGATCGTGTTTCTTACCACTTCAGCACAAGATTCTTTAAATAAGTAGTTACCGATTGGTAGTAGTTTCACACGATATATTTTACGATACTAACAGATTGGTGCTTAGAATACAATTATCTCGCGGGGTTTTACATTTCGATAGCATTTCGTTAAAGAAATGACTATTCCTATATATACATATATTGATACATTATCACGTAAATTGCAATTTACTAGAGTAAAAATTTAATTGCACTAACTAAAAAAAATAAAACATTCAAATATATACAATGATTATGAGTATATAATAACCGCACTTTCCACGTCATTACATTTTAGTACTGACGATTCGTTTTAAACTGCATGTGTTTAGAGCATGAGAGCATAGAAAGATGAAATTTGTTTGAATGCATACCATGATTCCTATGACGACTTTTCCAGTACAAATTAGTAATATTCCCTTACCCCGAATATAATAATTATACAGCCGATTATCGGGCAACAAAAGCCCTGACACTCATCGACAACTACTCACGAATTCGATCGCAATACCAGCTACGACGCCTTACTTGATAAAACGGAAAAAGTGTTTAGAGCCATAAGTATTTTCAAAATTTCAGATTTAGAATCGAAGTGCTAGATGGTGATATATTATTTGCTTGTCTTGTTGCGTTTATGTTACGTTCATTTCGCAAGAGCATGTGTTTAGCATATGTTCACTGGGTTGTTGCTATAAAGAATATACTTAACTTTTCTACCAGTATAGTTTCTAGATGTAAAAAATTAAATTTAGTATTCAAAGATGTTTTGATTATTTTATGTATAACATCATAGACCTCAAGGGTTTAGAATTTCAGCGGAAACGTTCAGTAACGTAGTTGCCTCCTTACACAGGTAATATTATTTAATGCTTCTTATCAGTAGTTACTTAGAATCAATTATAAATCGAATATTATTTTCGCAAATTTATTTTGAAAATTTAAAACAATGTTGCTTTGCAGTTATCTGTGTAAGATTTGTATAATAAATAGTATATACATCGTAGAATAACGTATATTGGATTAGATGAAACGAAGCTGAGTACAATGAACAGTAAATATATAACAGGTTTGCTTGTTTGCTGTAATACTTATTCAATTAATAACGAAAATTTAAAGGTAACATCAATCAGGAGAGCAAGTTTTCATGATTAAATTTATGTAATAAATTCTTCCTTTCTATTATGATACTTATAATAAACTACCAGGTTTTTATTATCTTTTGTATTTAAATGGAAGAGCCTAAGAGGAAATGCATTTAGTTACATTTATGTAGTTTTACTCTGTGATGTTACATTATTACACGCCAAAAAGACGTAAAATCGCTTCTAATCGGAATTATTAAGAATTTCTTTAGTGCTCGTGAACTGAGTGGTAGATTCCGAAATAGTCGAAGCAAACGAACAAAACTGCGTTCTCGATTTCTCGGAGATCTCGATCTCCTGTTCCGTAAGGTCGGCTATTTAACAACCCAGTGATAGCGAAATTTAGAAACAGTGTTTATGGTGCAAAATTAGCATTTTGATAAAAAAAAAAAGTGACCTTACTCGACGGCGTACAATGTAGGTGGTGATGAAATCGGCATGGCAGCCATGAATGTGTACGGGCAGCCTCCACACGCGCAACACGTGTATCTTCCTTCTTACTACCAGGGCCAAATGACCTATACCCGTAAGTTGTCTGTACTCTGTTTCTGTCACTCTTTTACATATCACACGTGCGCGCAACATTCTACATCTCTCTCTATATATATACATACATACAGACATGTACATATATCAGCATATGGGTACGTAAATGAATTCTGCGTACGTGCGCATTGTGTCATTCACTTCCTTTTTTTCTTTTTTGAAAATTCATTTGCAAACATCGTAGGACTTCTCGTATTTTATGCCTACTTTTAATAGTTCGTGTCGTCGCAATTTAGATATTCATATGTCCAACGATTTGTTTAATGCCAAAAATTGAAATTTACTCTCTTTCTTTACGTAAAAACTCTAGTTTTTCTTTAGCTAGCTATTAACTGATTGAAACTGTGGTCGAAACGTTTTTCTGAAAGATTTTTGTATATTTTATACTTGTTAGTTTGTCATAGTGTAGGTACTTTTTCTTTTTAATTGTACTGCGCGAAGACTTACATACAGAGACATGCACAGACATACCTCTCCCCGAACCGCTACTCGTTCACACTCTGTTTCGTTGACCATCCTTGTTGCTCCATTTCTCCTTGTAAAATTGCAAGCCTCCGTATCTTTGAAACGCCTGTAGTAGTTGTGAAACCTTCTCGACGATATTTACGCTTTGAGTTTCTAACACTGCAAACAATTTGTGTTGTATTATACAAAGTACTCCAAATGCTATCGAAATTTAAAAGCAATTTCGTTTGTTGTGAGTTTTTAATTGCAACGATTAATTACACTACCAATTATGTGATTGTAAAGAAGACGTTTATTTTATTTTAATTTTGTATACATAAATGAAAACGTGGAGGGGGGAGGGGGAGGGGGAGATTTATTTGACAGTAACATGGTCAATAGCCGTCGAAATAAATAGCTTCGTTGAAATGGTAAATAGGAATAATCGTTTTGAAAATGTTGGGAATGGTTTTTTTTTTTAGTATTATTTTTTAGAGAAGTGTGCAGTTATAGATCAGTTGTGTACGCGGTACAAAACAGTAATTGTATATATAGAAGTGGCGTTATTCTTGCTACTTATAATTCAACGAGATCATTATCATCTGTCCATTAGTCGTTACACTAGAAGTATCGCACATGAAGTTCCATTTATTATGTACGAGTCATAAGTGTCATTTCGTCATTACTGTATTTATATGTTTGCTGCGTCACTATACTCGCGTTGAAACCAGAATTTACGTTGTCATTTTGTTTCAATTCGACGTCATAGAGTATCGAACATTCTTTTTTGACACGTCATTGATTTAAAAAAAAAGAAACAAACGGTAAACGAGTCTAGTTTTTTGTTGTTGTTGTACGAGCATACATTATTAATAGAACATTGTGAATATCTACAGATTGGCCGCTATCTAATTTAATTACCTCGAATAAATTGCATGTTTATCATGACAGGAGATATTGAGCTTGTAGACAGTTTTTCTTCTTCTACGTAAGACGTATTAAATATCTTGTAAATAATTAGAAACTCATTTTGCAGTTTTTCTGTGACTTGTCAACAAGCCTATAATTACAAAAAGATTCCAGTGTTCACAAGACACTTATCCAAATACTGTTTGCGGAGACTGTTCGAAGAGAATTGGGAACAGTTTCTATAAACAGCGTCTGGATAAATATCTCACAAACCGGCTTCGCCGATATCTTACAAACTGGTTGTTACTCTTCGTGTTAATGTTTACACGAATCCTTTAATATTGCTACCATTATTACATTATTTCTCCTGAAAGAGAGCCATCTGCATTGGCTAAACGTCAAGAATATTTGTTACTCTTTCGATAAAGTTTGCTCCTACCGCTAAAACAACTCGACTTTCGTACTGCCTAATTTTTTTCCAAAATTTGAAAGTTGTATACAGTAACAGAAAAATTGTAGAAACACAATGGTGATGCTAGGTGAGTCGAGATTTACCGCCATAAATTAAATGCCCGTGCAGTTCTCTCCCGTTTTGGAATATAAAACAAAGAACACTACAGTACGTTAATGAAGTAGGGCGCGTTACTACTGTTAATGCAATTTGCATAATAACGAGTCGTGCGATCATTATGGCAGTCGGCAGGAACAGACTCGGGCTTGTGTGATCTGTTTTGACGTATCAACCACGTACATACACGCATTCTGCTTCAGCTGTTGTGCAACAGCCAGTGTGCGTCCTGTACTATATTATTCGTGCAATTAGCCTAACCCCTGCTAGCTGGCTAGCCGCCAAATACGATTCACGACCAAAATACCGAAATTTATATAACGAACTTGTTTTCCTTATTTTTTCGTTCGATTTTTTCTCCTCCTTTCGAATCAGCGCTCAATTAATTTCCGCGAATTCTTTTTACGCGCATCGTATATTTTTGTGTAAGGACGTGAGAAACGCGGATAAGGTGATCAACGAACACTAACGGCGGCAGTTAACATTAATTGATCACGTTACACCGTAAATGGGGCGTGCACACACTTTGCGAAGTACAGAGGGCTACGTGTGTCCGTTCGTGCTCTTCAAAATTCTACGCAGCTATAATCGTGGAATGCACCAATTTTCTCCGTTAAAAGATGAGACGTTGGCTGCCATGAAAATTTCTACGAGTTTAACATTTTATTTTCGGACGACTGGAAACTGGATAATCTAATCTATGTCGTAGTTGGATTATGGATAATTATATAAATACATATTTCTACAGATACAGATAAGAGAATGAAATTTAAATAAAAGTATTTCTTATCTTCCAAACAGTGTAACGTGTATTTTATATTGTTGATATTTTACATATTTTTGAATCTGTACTATCTTCATACGATTTCTTATATTTCCAGTTGCCATAAATCCATAAACATCCGAAGTCCAGCCGGTACTCATTTTTGTAACCTCGCCAAACTCACGAATTCGATCCAAATTTATTTTCTTTGCACTAACTTTCATCATTAATTTTTCAGTTCCTTACTGAAATGCTCTGTCGCATAGTAAACGTTAGAACGCCACGTCTCTCGCGCAATGAATTGTATCGAAGGAAAACTTTTTCGAATCTCATACTCCTCAACAAATTATCCCTCTGCGTTGCTTCATTCACGCAATTTGTGGTTATTAACAAAGTCGTTGTCTTCGATTATTCACATTTTCATAAGTTAATGTACCAGATCTGGATTTATTTATGGATCGATCTGCGAATATCCATTTTGTTTCTACAATTATGTGATTTCTTAATATCTCATGTTTGTCTAACGCACAGTCTTCGTTGTTACCTACTTACTTGACATATCAGTGCTACAAGTTCAAAGATTTATCCGTACAAGATCGATAGTAACGCTAAAAAAGAGAGGTTCGCAAGAAAACTGTCGATACGTCGCCAAGTAAATCTTCTTTTTCGACACGTTTTTCTGAAAACGGAGTTCCAAGACTTTGACAAGCTAAGAATAATTATCATCGCCTAGTAGCAGCTAGTTTGTTTTTCAGCTCTGCTGGTGTCACGGTTCGCGTTATCGTTACGCAGTTGCTCTTAAAGGTGCTCGCGTGCGCGCCGTGAAAAAAATTATCCATTGCCAACGATTGCATCCGTTCGCGCTTCTTAGATCGCGCGTGAGGAAGAAAAAAGATTGCAAGCGTTTGAGATGTAAATAAAGTAGCGGAAAAGCTTCGTAGGCAGTTACTATTATAAAATTGGTGATTCACGGAATGAGGTCACGTTTCTGCTAGGTAGTCTTGCGTCGAACTTGTATTAATCTTCGGCCAGTCGCTGTTCCTGACCCCGCCGGTGCTAGCACGCGACAAAATACCGCGGAAGAAAGGAAGCATTCAGGGCGAGCGGTTAATGCAATTTAACAAATCAAATCTAATTCGCCGTGCACGTTGTGACTTGCGTAACGTGGACCTCCAGTAATAGTGAACACCCTGGAGCGGTGAATACGAGGGACGGGCGGTTGCCAAATTTTCTCGGATCACTTGGGATCGAGCTTGATCGACTTGGTCGAGCACTTGAGTGTATCGACGAGTGAAACCGATGTGGACGACTGTAGAGAAGTGTGGCGGGGCTGCAATTACGAGGCCCGTGGTCATCAATGAATGCGTAGCGATAAACGCGCGCTCGTAAATTTTAATTCGTGCAACCTAGCTCGCGACCCGTGGACGTTTAGTCGAGTCGGTGATGTAATTAGTCCTGTACGTAGCGTACATCGTCAGTACATCGTGTTCACTGAGCCGAGCACAGAGTTACAACGGTGTGCCGAACTGGTCGTACGTTGGAAGTGCGGTTGTTGCTGTCTTCGCCTGTCCACGGTGTTCGATAAGAATACCGACATCTCGTGATTTTTCTCACGCGAAACCACTGGACGAACATTTTCCGATCGCGTTCCCGCGGTTTTTCTTTTCACCCTCGACGCTAATATAGCAGAAGATATGGCCAAGGGACGAACGAAACGAAAGGAGTCGAGGAAGATAGCGTGTTGCGGGTGTACATCCAGCAGGAACAGCGACACTTTATGTAAATATTCATTCGTTGTTGCACGATTATTCCTTGCGATTGGTGTTGCTTGAATAAACCTCCTGGAGTTGTTCGAGATTACTGATAGGATTGTTGAATCAAAGTTCTATGTTCTGTTCGTGACGATATCGATGAAGAAGCGTTGGTCTGTTAAAGAATAGGATTCGGAGAAACTAGGTAACGCTTCAGAGGTACTGGCATGTGGGATACCTGAGAATATCTATTATGCGATCGGAATTTTGGCAAATAGTATCTGTCACGTGGGTTTCTGTGATAATATAGAGCGTAGGATTGTACGAGTATTTACATTTCTCGTTCCAAACAGAACTTCATGCCTTGTCAATTCTATCTTTAAATATATTTTTACAGTATCGTAAACGTACGATATTTCAGAGTAGGTGGAGTATTAAGGTGAGGTTTAGTGGACAAAATAAGTCATTGTCTGAAACGTGTATTTTGAAAACTAAATTTAAATTTGTTATTGTTATTGTTGTTTGTTAATCTGTAACCTATGATAGCTTTAAAAAAATATGGGTGACGTATGGATCAAAAGAGCGTTCAGTTCGTCTATAACATGAAAAGGAACAAGATACTCTTGATCTGTATGGGCGTGGTTCGTTAGACGAAAAAATAAGTCATCTTCTGGAATGTGTATTTTGAGAACTAATTATCGCAGTACTAGAATTTAGAAGTTAATAATAGCAAATAAACTTCAATAGTTCTTTCAGAATTAAAATACAAAGATTTTCAATATATTAGGTAAATATTAGATATAGTTAAGGGTAGTTTATACATATTTCCGTCTATTATGGATTTTTCTCAAATTATTACTTTTTGCATTTATATCACACTAAGAAACGTTTCGAAAGATAAATTCTCAGTGAACATCGCGAATGTATAGAAAAGCTCTTTGTACGATAATTATCATGGTACACACAAAGTGATAACCGATGCTTCCAAAGCGATAATGAAAGGCCACGCGACTTTGTTGTTACACGCGTGAACGTGTTAACTGTAGTTAAATATTCATTCCAGACGGGTTCTTGTGAAAGCAGATAAATGTACAAAAAAGTTCATTTGCAAGTACATGCACAGTGAATCTCTGAAACCTATTTCTACTACCAGAAAAGTAGTTAAAAATTTGTATATGATTAATTAAATGTTTTAATCAGTGGAAACAGTTCAATTATATAAAAATCGAAATTCATACGTTTCTTATTTGAACGATTGAGTAACGTCATTAAACATAAGGTCGGAGTATACACAGGCGTACGAACACCTGGAAATCATATGTTTCATGATTGGAAAGATGATGCAGTAGCAACGAATAGGTATCATGATTATAGTACGCGAGGTTTCGTATCGTTTACTAGAAACAGTAGTACTACTAGCAATTTTATTAATCGAAGGATTTTCTTTAAAATATTTGTATTTATATTAAAATAATTTAAGTTGTTTTATTTTATTATTAGTAAGGTGTTTCGTAAGCGTGTTTAACGGTTAAATATATAGGATTCTTGTTTATTTTAGTCATGATAACTTAAGTTCAAAGGGCGAATCTACCCTTCAAAATTTCAGCCTTGTTATCTTGAAATATGTTATCGAGGAACTAGGAAGTTTTTTAATAAATTCATCGTGGTCTTTGACGGACAATTATAGGGTCTTATTTTCTGACAAAACTGAAAACGGAAATGCGAAACACACCTGTGAATACATGAGAGGTATATCTTCTTATCTTCGTAACTATTGCCGCATGCGTGCGTTACACATGTACGATTGTACCCATTGCTGTTCGAAGGCGATCATTCCAATTAATCTTCATTGTTTTTAAAGTTCACAAAACGTGCCGACTACCTTTTTTAATTGAAAATCAAACCTGTGCAATTTTGAGGTTCGAACTCTCGCACTCTGTCTAGCTTCTCTCAGTAATAGACCCAATATCCCTTTAAACATTCCATTCGAAACAATTCGAATCCTTTTGCGTGGCTGCGCACAGCACATACCGATGTCCTCTTCGGCTCATAAACCTAAATACCCGCGCAGAATTAGACGCATATTTACGTTTCTGTCGCTATACAAGTGCCACGCGACATTGCAGTCAAAGACGAATTCGAAGTCGTTAACGGGAAATCGCATATCGTTCGCCGTTTTCGCGGTGCGCAGTGGGTCATCTGTGGAAAACTGGTTGCAGTTTCCGTTTGAAAATAAGTTCCTCGTACGTGACTTTATGAACGTAGGAAGTGCATTGATATTCGCGTCGCGGAACGATACCGGGCGGCCCATATTGAAACGATTATCTCGGGACGAGGCCTAATGCAGCGATGGAACGTGTCGAAAGTACCAGGCCCATAAAACGACGGAGAAGAGAAACGGAGCGGTTGGTCGTCTCGCTTAATTGGGCGACAGAAGGAACGTGACTGTGATCCTCGCTCGTGACATAACAACGAGACGGACATGAATGACATAAGACGCGAACGATGATATCGCGATGATCGCCGTTTGGAGGGGCGACGATCAAGGCCGGCTAGTTAACGTTACAGCGGAGAAAAAAGAACAATTTTGCTCGATACGTGTTCTTCTCATTGGTTCTTGGAATCTAACGTCTATTACCAGAGACCAGTCGCGCGTTATGCGAGTTTCCACATGGCGACGAGCACTGGCGCCAGGCATATGACAGTTTAAAGGGCAGTTATCGCGGCCAAAATTGAAGAATTTCTTTTCAATCTTAAGGCGATACAATTATACGAGT